CTGCGATGTGTGGGATCCTCCCCTTCCATCCATGGATTCCTTTCCTGAAGTATCCTGCAGCATGCTGACTCCTTACTCGTGAAGGCTGTTTCACGAAAGGCTCCTTTTTCCACCAAGGGAAGATTCCTGGTGGGCAGGTCCCCTTCCTCAGGAATCCCCAACATTTCTGGGGAGGCATGAGGCATGAGGCTTCATTTGCATGAGGCAATTCCGGTTATTGCTGGAGCGCCTGTTACAAATCTTCATAAAGACACGTTCAAACATAGACATGATTTGACTTGGAATGTTCAAGTATATAAATGAAGGTAGGTTTCGGCCCAGAGGCCCTGATGAGACCAATCTTTCCACCTCACCAGAACTTTCTCTGTTTTAGATCTGAACATGACTGTTCTGATCTGAACATGATTGTTCAGGACCCAGCCCCAGCACCTCAGGAGGAAGAGTCACTGTGATGTCAGCTAGAGTGGGCCTGCAGCGCCCAGACTCACCATAATTGTTCTGCGTCTGTGCCAGTGTCCTGTCCAAGTCTTGCGTTTCTAACAGTGGACTCTGTAAGTCAACTGTGTGGACAATGTCCAGCTTGGAATGGTCTGCATTAGAGAAGGCAGGGGAAGGAGAAATTCTTTTCTTTCCCTTGTCTCACTGCTGGAGCTGGATCATTTTACCTCATTCTCTGCCCAGTGCTGAAATTCACATCACATGTGCCCTTGTCCTCAGGCATTTGGACTGGAAATGAATGAAAATGCCCACTGTCCAGTCTCCCTAGCTTGCACATGCAGCTGATGGGATTTCCCACCTCATATCCTCAGATGGGATCTGGTGAGAGCCAATTCCTGATGAGAAGTCAATCTCCTCATATTACACCAGTAATTATTATTTCAAACCTTGTGCTGCCCTCTTCTTATTTCCCCAGTCAACAACCAGTACCGTCACTGAACTCTCACAGGCTGGGTTGGTGTCACACATCATGGCCATCAGTATCCAGGTCACAGCACAGTGAGGATGGGCCGCTGCTCCCGGACACAGAATAGCATGCTGGGTCCTTGTCTTCTGTCCCTGGGAAAGGAGATATTAGCTATTTCTCTGCTCTGCTGGGATCCCTTCCTCTCCTTGTCTCTCAGATGCAGGCAGGGTAAATCCTCTCCTGTCTTGGCATCAGGAATCTTGTACTTCAGCAAAGGATACTTGAGGGAAAATCAAACACTGATTGCCTTCTCTGCTGTACAGTGGGGTGAGTGGACTGAGGGGTGTTGGGAGAGAGAGGTTAGGATGGAGGGCAGATAGAAAAGGGAGAGAGAGAGAGACAAAGAGGGAGAGAGAGAAGTAAACCAATTGTGACATTTTCAGGGTTGGGAGAGGAAGACTCAGGTGGAAACTGCATGAAAGCTTATTTCAATTTAAATGTACTCACCTCTGAAACAAATGTGACAACTATCTCTAACATCCCTGAATGTGCTTTGGAGTCTTTGAGACAAATGCAGTGGCTCAGCTCCCCAACCTGAGCTTGCCCCTTGATTCGCTCAACAAGCAAACATCAGAGAGTGGGATATTGGGGTCCACTACTGAGTCTTCAACAGACCAGACATACAATGTTGGAGGAAAATGAGAATTTCATTGGGAGCAAAACCTTGCACAAAGTCACTGTGTTAGAGAAAATATGGACGATATAAGGAACAGAGCGGCTGGGGAATGCTCTACTGAGGCAGTGAGGAAGTAGAGTGGGCAGTTGTGGCTGCAGAGAGACCACATCATGCCTGAAAAGTCCAAATACGTAGACATCACCGGTGGTGCAGCGGGTGAACGCTGCACTGTGAAGCTGTGAAGCTGCGAAGCTCTGAAGCTGTGAAGCTCTGAAGCTGTCCGTAGCCTCTTTAGCGTGGGTTCGATTCCCGGCAAGCCAGGGAGAAACCCACATGGAGCAGCAGACCTCTCCTGTCTCGCCCACTGCCCTCTCAGCAGTGTCTTCGGTCCAACTGCCTGCTCTGCTCCCCACTCTGTCTCTGGTGAATTCTCTCACCTTTCCACGCCTCTGACCTGTACCCCAGCTCTTATAAAAATAAATAAATCCTTAAAAAAAAAAAGTCCAGATAAGGAGTTTCAATTTCATTGATGGGTGGTCTTATTTTTATTATTTGTAGGATTTTCTTCCTTCTGTTTGCTTTGTGCTTGTCTTTGTCCTTTGCTTCCTATGTTTTTGATATGGAATTCAGCTATAAATTTCCCTGTCAATACTGAGATTACAGAACCCATACATTGTTTTTTTTTCAAGATTTATTTATTTATTTATACAAGCACTGGGTACAGTCAGAAGCGTGGGAGGGTGAGAGAATTCACCAGAGCCAGAGCGGGGAGCAGAGCAGGCAGAAGGACCGAAGTACACTGCTGAGGGGAGCAGCCGGTGGCAGGAGAGGTCTGCGCCCCATGTGGGACCCTCCTGCAGTGGCCTGGGAGTAGCCGGGGATTGAACTGGCGCCGCAGAGGCCATGGGCAGTTTCCCAACACAGCGCTCAACCGCTGCGCCACCGGGGAGGCCCTAAATGCACTTCATTTAATTCTTAAGTTGCATTAGTGTCCTAGATGTCATATCAAATGACCCAAACTGTCCTAAAAATAATAGAAATGTATTGTCTCCCAATTCTGCAGGTTAACAAGGCAAATATGAACCTAACTGTAGAGTTATACTCCCTCTGTTTAAAAGGGGGAAGGGTCCTTGCTCCTTCCTAACCAGGTGACTGTGGGCAATTCCTACAAAGTCCTTGATTTAAAACACTCCCTGGTCAATCTCTGTCGTGGACTCTCGGTGGCATTCTCTCTCCTGCTTGTTTGTGTTTCATCTTTTCTCCTTATTAGGACACTGGTGTTGTTAGGGGGAAGGTTGTCCTGAGCTAATTCCATGCAGGCTTTGTGGACTCCACCCCCACTCCAGACCAAAGCCCTCAGGACACTGGGAAAGACAAATCCCATCCCCACCAAAGTGAAGGTGGCTGGGACCTGAGGGTGGAGTTAAGCAGCCAGGTTTGGTATAAAACCAGACCCGTGGGCCTTGGGGTCTCTTTCTTGGCTTCAAGGCTCTTGGCTCACCGCCAGCTCTCAGAGTGCCATTTGGGATTCCATGTTGGCGGAATGGGTAGGACGCAGTGAGGACTTTATCTCCCTCTTTTCTCCCTGAGTTGTACATTTCCTCATTTCCCCTTCCCTTGTAAACAAACCTTTTATTCACCTTAGGTGTGTGCCTGCAGTTAAGTATTAGTAAGGCACTTTTAAGTGCGCGGTGAGGACCCACAGTCAGACAACCCGTTTTTATATCAGGGTTGCCCTGTAACAGTTATAGTGGATTAGGGTCCACCCTAATGAAGTGTTACATCACCTTAATTTGATTACACATTTCCCAACAAGGTCTCATTACCTGTTTGGCAGTTTGCCTATTTTGTTAGTGTTTTGAGATGCAATTGAACTAAAAACACTAGGAGTATAGAAAAATTCCAGATATTTTTTCCATTGACACTCAGATTAATTTCATAATGGTCTGAGAGTATATTTTGTAAGATTTTCATGGTTACAAAAAATAGAATTCATTTTATTATTCAAGATATTTCTTACTTGGATGACTATTCTTGTGAAACAGTAACAGCATGGATTTTGCTATGATTTTTAATGACATTTTATTAATGTCAATTTTGCTAACTTGGATCATGATAGTGCTGAATACTCTCATGTCATATTAATTTCTGTATAATTGCGCTTCAATGACTGAGAGTAATGAAATGAAATAATGAAATCTCTTTATGGATTTGTAGATTTTTCCATTTCTCATTTCAGCGTATCAGTTTTATCTTCATATGACAAGAAATTGTGTTCTTAGGTGTGATGATTTGAAACTTGATAGCTATATTATATGCTTGATATAATAACTTGATGGCTATACTTTCTATTAACCTGGTAATTTTCCAACCAGGTGGGTTGATTTTTAAAGTATGATTATTTACATTATAGCTTTTTTTTTTTTTTTTACCAGTTTTCTAGTATACTTTTCCCTTTCCATAGATATTTCCTTTGTATTTCTTTTTCAGGTGGGCTAATTGCAGAAACCGAACTTTCCTTTGTACTTTTTGTTTACTTGTTTTTTCCAAAAGCTAGTGGAAAAGAGAGAATGACTTGGAGCGCTCTAGCAAGTAGAGTCTGTTACAACTGTAGAGAAGGACCAGAGCTGAGAGGACAGGGCAGGAATTTCCAGCTCCCAGGCTCTGCATCCATGGGTCTTGGGCTGCACCATCTGGGTCACCAGGGGGCAGCAAGGGCCTGTGTGGACGAACCTTCATTGCTGTGATTTCTCCAGAACTGCATGAAGTCCCAGGAACTCTTTACCTCTGAGCTTTTTCTAGGAAGAAGCAGACTCAGATGTCCCAAATCTGCTGAGTTATTTTGAGCTCAGACTATGGAATGCAACAAGAAAAGGGTGAAACTAATTGCTGGTTGGCTATAACTTCAAATGCAGGTCTCTCTCCCTAGAACCTTCTATGATTCCCTTTACAAGGGACTCAAAGAACTGCTCCCTGCATGCTCTAATGTTTTAGGTGCATTCAGAGGAGAAATGGTGTTGCGTGCTGTTTACATTCCACATGAACCAAACCTTATAATTGTACCTTTTATTTGAAATTTGAATCAGATTTAATCCCAGGGAATAAAAAAAAAAAAAGCGAATTAAACAATAGTCTTAGAAATTTCAAGAGAGAGGGACAGAGAGTATCACAATGGTGTTGTCACGTCATGTCCAGGTTTAGGGAGATTGGTTTATCTTGCCTGTGGAAGCGAAATGGAAGAAAAGTCAAGAAAGTTCAAATGATCTCATCTGTGACCTGGCCCTTGAATCTAAAAAGCAGGAAGCAGATTTGCATAGAGACCCTCCTCCTCCTCTTAGCAGGGCTGGGGATAAGAGACATCTGGGGGAGCCAGGCCCAGGTTGAGGCATCAGAAGACAGAGGCCTTGGCTTGTCTCCACCATGGCCTGGACTGTGCTCCTCCTCACCCTCCTCACTCAGGCCGTAGGTGAGACCTCCAGGGAAGGGACATTGAACACATCATGGCTGACCCTTATCTGCTCAGCTCACCTGGGCTCAGACTGAACTCACTTGGGTGTGTTTTTCCTCTTTTCAGGTTCCTGGGCCCAGTCTGCTCTGACTCAGCCTTCCTCAGTGTCTGGGGCTCTGGGACAGTCAGTCACCATCTCCTGTGCTGGGACCAGCAATGACATTGGGCGTTATAATGCTGTCTCTTGGCTCCAGCAGCTCCCTGGCAAGACACCCACACTCCTGATTTATGGTGTCAGTTCCCGGCCCTCAGGGATCCCTGATCGCTTCTCTGGCTCCAAGTCAGGCAACACGGCCACCTTGACCATCTCTGGTCTCAAGCCTGAGGATGAGGCTGAGTATTACTGTAGCTCAATCAGGACTGGTTATACTTACCACAGTGGTGCAAGTTCATGGGGAAGTGAGACAAGAACCTACCCTGTGCTCACGGCCTCCCTGTTACACAGAAGTTGCTTCCCCCACCCCGTGCAGATGGGGCTTCATGCACAGGGCCTTGACAATTCATTTCTCTCTTAGCTCCTCTCTTCTCCTTAGTGCAATCCCCAATGACGCCGTATTATTTGCATAATGATTTTTTTTTCTCTACATTAATTACTGATCCTAGAATGTACTACAGTTTCCATTTCTTCAATGATGGGAGAATCATGGCATAGAGCTCAGGCTGTTCTCCTCTGTGGAGCCTGTTCTCTGCTGCTAGGGACGCTGGATCATGTCCCTTGTCCAGCCACGTGTCAGTGTGGTGCTGCTGCCGGTCACTTCTGCCAACAGGATGTGAGTTTTTGTAGACAAAGAATATCATTTTCTGCAACCCTGTCCAGTAACCACACATGACTGTTCTAGAATGTCTGGAATCTGTCCAAGTCTCTTAATTTTTCAAAGAGCTTGGAGAGTGCAAAACCTCTCAGGTGTCTCTGCCTTGAAAAGGTTCCAGTTTTTCTTAAAGGTGACTAGTGTGGTTCTTAACAGTGAGCAGTGGGAAGGAAACTGTAGCTAGAGCATGAGTGACCCGGATCCTCCACAGTCTTTGTTCCTGTTGACTGTGGAGCCTTCAGCTTGGCACAGGGAGGTGCAGGTCCAGTATTGGCAGCGAGATTAACATATGACACTTCAGGGTGGAGCATCTGTGGAGTTGAGATTGGACTTCCTTTTTTAAATTTTTAAAATATTTTTATTAATTTATGCATACAAGAACTGGGGTATAGGGCAGACGTGCGTGTGGGGAGTAAGAGGGTTGACCAGAGAAAGTATGCGGAGCAAAACAGGTGGATCTACTGAAATACACTGCTGAGAGGAGCAGCGGGTGAGAAAGCAGAGGTCCTCTGTGCCTTGTGTGTTAGCTCCCTGGCTGGGGATTGAACTAGTGCTGGAGTGTCTGGCAATAGCTTGATAGCACTGGGACTTTAACCCCTGTACCATAAGGGAGGTCCAGGAATGGACTTGTTCAGGCCAAAGCCAGCTGACACTTACCATGTTTCATTCTAACTAAAAATTTGTGTTTTTCTCTATTTCCCATTCATTGCTGTATTTCATATAATATAACACAGGAATACACACAGTATAACTTGTTTGGAGTTAATATGCAAGAAACATGATTATATTTTCATTCAATTTCACCCACAGTGTCCAGAGTGAGTCTACTCCTACTACTGAGATTTGTGATTTGGGGACTGAGGAGTGTAGAGAAATGTGTCGAATATTCAGGGAACAATGTTCTTTAGCTGACATTTTGGTAACAAATATTAAGGCATAAAAGAGAAAGAGGGTCTTGAAAATGTCCAAAAAAATAACAATTACTTGCAGTCAGCACACCAAATGTCCCATTTGACAGACAGACGTGAAACGAGGGACCCCAGGACTGGTGCTAGGACAGCACCGCCTCACTCCAGCCCCCCCCTCCACAACCTCCAAACCTGGAGTTCACCTCCTGCTCCCCATTGGGTCATTTAAATCCAAGCTCCCTCTTATCTTGCAGTATATATTCATTTACCATTTAAGGAAATAGTCCTCTTTGGTCTCCTCTTCATAAATTTATTTTTTTTTTTGATGGAACATTGCAACTTCATTTTATTTCCCATCAATTGTCTCTTCATCACTGACTTGAGAAACCCTCAGGGCCACACACACAGGAAGAAACACCTCCTGGGACAGGTGGAATGATCATGAAGTGCCATATTAAAACCCCAGTATGGCAGGACGCATTTCCGTCAGGAAAAGATAAAGGGAAAAGGATTCGAGAGAAACAGCATTCTGTATTGAACAGGGGGGGAAAAGTGATGGAGGATAAAGGACAAAACTGATTTCAACTCCACTCAACTTTCTCCCTGCTGATTGTGTTACACAACCTGGGCCACTGGGGCAAGCAAAGCCTGAGTTGGAGGAGATTATTGGTTTGGTCAATGGACAGATTCAGTTTAGGAGCTGCTTCTCTCAGCAGCCCCCTATTATCATTCAGAAATAGGGTCACAATTCTTTTGTTCCCCAACAGTTCTTTCTTTATGAAACAATCAATGAACCAGGTCTCAGTCTCAGGTCACAGTGTCAGCCCACTGCACACACATGGGGCATAGAGGCTTTTGAGAAGAACGAGGAAGAGCTGAAGAGAAATGAGAAGTAATCACCCATGGGTTTCAGCATCAGAAAATGTGTGATTGGAGCTGCTCGGACAGCCTTGAGCCCTGTCTTTTCTACACTCTTCAGAGCATGAAATTGTCCCAGATCCTCAGTCAGGAGCTGCCATGAGTCTGTGGTGGAAGAACAGGGACACCCCCATGGTGTCTGGCACTGCCACAGGCTCAGTCTGTCCTGACTCAGAAAGTACAGCTCAGAGGGCCAGCACTTCAGGAGAGCTCTACCATCCTTACATGAAGGACTAGGGTGTAGGAACAAGCCATTGTGGTATGAGCAGAGTGAGTACTCCCCTCTGAGATGGGGTAGTTGAGAAGAGGGTTTGGGGAATTCAGGCCCATGTCCTGGGTTATATCCATCATGATCTGTGCTCCTCTCTCCACTCCCTCTTCACTCAGGGGACAAGTGAGGCCCCCAGGTAGTGACCCCCAAGTACATGAGTGCTGACAAATTCTCTTCCACCCCAGGCTCAACTGGTCCCAGCACTGAGCATCCCTGAGTTTGTTTCCCTCTTTCCAGTTTTCCAGGTCCAGACTCTCATTTTGGAGCCTCCCGCAATGTCCAGACTCTGGGACACTCAGTGACCAACCTCCCTTGTTGGAAGTGACATCGGGTATCACACCTGTGGTTTAAAGTGCCATGGTTGAGCCCAGTCTCCTTATCTCTGCTGTCAGGACTCTGCCCCCAGGGATCCCTGATCACTTCTCTGGTAATGATCATCCCTGACTCTCAGTGGCTCCACCTGAGGAGGACGATGATCATCACTGTCCCTCATTTAGGAGACCTGGCACCTTCCACAGGATGCAAGCTCATGGGGAGGTGAGACCAGAACGTGCCCTTGCTCATAGGCTCTCTCCTTGTTGTGAAGGTGCTTCATAAGCCTGTGCAGAGCGGACATCACACAAGGGTCTTGAGAACATGGTTGACACATCAGCTGCATTGTCCTCCCCAGAGTTCAAAGCAAACATCCTCTGGTCTATTGTTTCACAATAAAAGCAGCTTTTTCTTCTTCTCTGGGTCCAAGTCCCAGAATATGCAACTTTTCCCAATAACTAAACTAGAAGAGACAGGGAGACACCTGTTAGGGCCAGTTTTCCCAGTTTTCAAGCATATCCTCACTTTACATGCTCTGGTCTCTTATGCCTGTGCAGCCCAGCCTGGACTCAGTTGTCCAGCACGACATCTCCTTCTTCACTCGGGTCTGCGTTGCTGTCAGTGTGGCCTTTTTGGTGCTTACTCTTCTGCACATTGCTGCTGAGAGAAGAGATGCTGAGGAAGGGGAAAATGTTGCTGAGACCTGAGGATTAACTACATGGACCTTTTCTTTTCATATCCCTCTAGGTGACTCCATATCCAGAGAAACTGAACAGGGGGAGGTTTATTTGCATCTGCGGTGTGTGGAATCTTCCCTCTCCATGCTGGATTCCTTCCCTACTAGGAAGGGCTGTTTCCCAAAAGGACCCTTTTTCCTCCAAGGGATGAGATAGCTGGTGGGCATGCCCCCTTCCTCAGGAATCCCCAACATTTTTTTTTCTCATCATGAGCCTATTCCAGTTCTTGCTGGAGCACCTGTTACAATTCATCATAATGACACGTTCACAAGTAGATATGCAGTTTGACCAAGAAGAGTCAAACATCTGAATGAAGGTAGGTTTCAGCCCCAGAGGCACCGGGCCATGATAACTCTGTCCATTCCACCAGAACTTTCCCACTTTTACTTCTGAACGTGACATGTTCTGGCCAGGACCCAGCCCCAGCGCCTCAGGAGGTATGGTCACTGTGATGTCAGGGAGAGTGGGCCTGCAGCACCTGGACTCGCCAGGATTGTTCTGCGTCTGTGCCAGTGTCCTTCCCGAGACTCGCGTTTGTACTGGTGGACTCAGTAAAGTCAACTGCGAGGACAACTTCCAGCCTGGAGCGTTTGATTGGTTAAGGGAAGGGAAGGAGAAATGTATCGTTTCTCCTAGTCTCACTGCTGGTGCTTGGTTATTTCACCTCATTCTCTTCCCAATGCTGAAATTCACATCACATGTGTCCTGGTTCTCAGGCACTTGGACTGGAAGTGAATGAAAACACCTCTGTCCAGGCTCCCTAGCTTGCAGATGGATTTCCTACATCAGGAAACAAGGATCTGATGGGAGGCAATTCCCGATGAGAAGTCATTCTCCTCCTAACCTACCATTTGTTATTTTTTCTAATCTTTTGTAGCCAACCTTCTTAATTTCCCAGTCACACTGACGTCCCCAGCTGTCGGTGTCACACATCAGTGGCTTATCAGTAGCCAGGTCACAGCGCATGGGGACAGGCTGTTGCTCCCGGACACAGGATACCTTCTGGGCCCTCCCCCTTGTGTATGTGAGGCTGGCAGAGGCTGCCCCTGTCTGTAGTGGGTGCGTCTCCATGGAGACTAGCCATGTGGTCAAGGGGTTTTTGTCTGGTTGTCCTTGCACATCTTACACAATGCTCCTTGACTGTGTGGCCATCAGTGGGACATTGACAAAGTGTCTTCGTGTGTCACATGAGACAGATGTCACATTGTCTGCTCTGGGTGAGGCATCCACACATGATTAATAATCCTACCTCCTGGTCCCACAATGTTAGCACAAGGGTATGGGATGCGATTTTCTGATGTTGCTGTCAGTTCTGTGCCCTCAGGAGTCCCAGTTCGAGTCCCAAACTCAGGTATGCAGCAGGGGTCCTCGACCACCTCTGGACTTGCCTGAGGTCAAGCTGATGAGCACTGTTCGTCGTGACACAGCCAGAGCTTTTACCTGCAGTGCTCTACGTTCACAGGACATAGATCCGCAACCTATGATTTGCTCTCAGCACTGGCCTATGCACCTGCAGCGAGTCACTGTGGTTTGTACTGTCCTTTCTGCTCCTGGCTAAGACGGAGTCTCATATCACGTAATGTCATCCTAGGAACCCATCCTGTCACCTGGGCCATTTAATGTCACCTAATCAACGGGGAAATGTTTGTTCACCTTTGCCATATTGTTGGTTAGAAAAAAATTAAACCTTCTTCTCAAATTTGAGGTGTAAGTATTTTCTAGGGTCTACTTGGGGTGGGCCTTAAAAATTATATCAAAAGCAGATTTTCAATCCATTGTCAAAACCACTTGTGAAAAAGCTCTGCAAATATTGCTGAGGGAACAGCATGAAACAGAATTGAGTCCTACCTTTCAGTGTCCACCTTCTCGTACCACTTGGTTTGTTGATGCTCATCTGAACCAGCATAACATTATGTGATATTATGTAATTGGTGTGGTTTTGCCAAACTCACCCTCCCCATTTCTCTCTGTCCTGACATCACATCCCATACCTTCATGCTCTTCTGTGTGTTCGAGAAGCTTCACTCCAATGGCGTGTTTGCTCATCCATCGAAGGTGCTCTGGGAGGGCTGTTTTCTTCAGACATTTTAGCCAAAGCAACATATTGTAACTGACTGAATGATGACACTGATGTGTAGCCTGGTTTGGCAACTGCAATGTCTGCAGCTACCATAGAGATACCTGGCTTGTAGTAGGTTCTAAGAGCTACTTTCTCCTTAGTTATGCAAATGGGGAAAGCCATCAAGCCCATTGTCTCCACTCAGTGTCTTCTCTGCATATATGTAAGCACCCCAGGCTCATCTCAGGCCAAAGCAGAGACTGGAACAGATTGTGGGGGCCCACCTTAACGGGAGATTGAGAGGTCCCATCCCTGTCTTCTGTCCCTGGGAATGGAGGGATTAGCTTTTCTCTGCTAGGTTGGGATCCCCTCTTCGCTTTGTCATTCAGATGCAGGGAGGGTAACTCCTCTGTCTTCTTCTTGGCATCAGGAATCTTTTTCCAGGAAGGGATACTTGGGGGAAGATCAGACTCTGTTCCCCTCCTCTGCTCTAAGGTGGGGTGAGTGGAGTCAGGGTTGTGGTAGAGAAAATGAAGGATGGAGTGAAGATCGAGAGAGAGAGAGAGAGAGAGAGAGAGAGAGAGAAGGAACAGAAATACAACATTAACAGCTGCGGTGGGAGAAGACTCAGGGAGAAATTATTTGAAAATTTTTTTGATTTTAATGTACTCTCCTCAGAAACTGAATCATGGTGTTGCCGTGTCACCCAAATGTTTCAGGACAGGGAGAGGGGCACTGCAGAACACCCAAATCTGCCTGTTTTAAATAGGTCCTGCCATCCACCATATTAAAAAAAACATATAAAACCTTTGTTGAAAAGAAATTTCAATGCAGTTAGTGTGCAATACAGAAAAGACAAAGAATATAGTTCCCAAATTAATCACCCGAAGTTATCCAACCCCTTGTGGGTAAAAGTCTAGCCAAACAGCAGGGGCTTTATTCTTTTTTTTTTTTTAAGATTTAAAAATTTTTATTTATACAAGCACTGGATACAGTCAGAAGCGTGAGAGGGTGAGAGAATTCACCAGAGCCAGAGTAGGGAACAGAACAGGCAGACTGACGAAATACCCTGCTGAGGCGAGCAGCAGGCGGCAGGAGAGGTCTGCAGAGCCATGTGGGACCCTGGCCTGGTGGCTGGGGATCGAACCCGCATTGTAGAAGCTGTGGGCAGCTTCGCAACCCAGTGCTCAACCGCTGTGCCACCGGAGAGGCCTAGTAGTTTGATTTTTTTAAATATGATTGTTTACATCATAGCTTTCTTTTGTTTACTAGTTTTCTGGAATACTGCGTCCTTTCTATAGTTATCTCCTGTGTGCTTATTTCAAAATGGGCTAATTTCAGAAGTCATGTAATTGGTTCTCTTTTCCACTTTTTGTTTAGTTGTTTGTTTCAAAAGCTGAAGGAAAAGGGAGAACTACTTGGAGGGCACTAGGAGGCAGATTTCTCTTAGAAATGTGAGGGAAGAGCAGCAGCTGAGAGAGAACAGGGCAGGGATTTCCTGCTAAAGCTCTGCTGCATCCACAGGACTTGGGATGCACCCTCAGTGTTCACCAGGGGGTAGCAAGGGACTGGGTTTTGGGAACCTTAATTGCTCTGATTTATCCTGAAGTGGATGAAGTCCCATGAATATTTACCTCTGAGATTTTCCTAGGACGAAGCAGGACTCAGGTGTCCTAAAACAGTTGTGTTATTTCAAACTCAGACCATGGAATACAAAAGGAAAAACAGGAAACTCTTTCTGGTTTGCTGTCCCTTTATTTTATTTTATGTATTTTATTTTATTTTTTTAAGATTTATTTGTTTGTTTGTTTGTTTGTTTATTTATTTATACAAGCACTGGGTACAGTCAGAAGTGAGGGAGGGTGAGAGAATTCACCAGAGCCAAAGCAAGTAGCAGAGCAGGCAGAAGGACCAAAGTACACTGCTGAGGGGAGCAGCGGGCGGCAGGAGAGGTCTGCGCGCCATGTGGGGCCCTCCTCCTGTGGCCATGGAGCAGCTGGGGATTGAACCAGCGCTGCAGAGGCTGCAGGCATCTTCACAACCCAGTGCTCAATTGCTGCGCCATCGGGGAGGCCCTTAGCTGTTCCTTTAAATGCAGGTTTCTTTTTCCAGTGACTTTTCTGATTCCCTTTATAATTGCCTCTCCCCGCATGTTCTAGGCTTATAGCTGCATTCAGAGGAGAAATGGCGTTGCATGCTCTCTACATCCCAGATGGAACTTGAACCATAAATTGGTACTTTTCATTTGAAAAATAAATCAGTTTTAAACCCACACAGTAAAATAAAGAGAGAATTAAAGAATAGTCTCACAAATTTTAAAGAGAGAAGGAGACACATTTGTGAAAGTTTCTGTGATTTCACGTCCAGGTTTGGGGAGGTCGGTTTATTTGAACTGTGGAAGTGGTGACATGGAAGAAAATGTAAGAAAGTTGAAAAGAACACATCTGTGACCTAGGACTTGAATCTGGCACTAAGGAAGCAGATTTGCATAGAGGCCCTCCCTAGGCTCAGGCAGGGGGAGGGGATAGGAAACATCTGGGGAGCCAGGCCCAGGTTGGGGCATCAGAAGGCAGAGACCTTGGCTTGTCTCCACCATGGCCTGGACTGTGCTGCTCCTCACCCTCCTCGCTCAGGCCACAGGTGAGGCCTCCAGGGAAGGGACACTGAACACATCACAGCTGACCCTTTATCTCCTGCTCAGGCTCACCTGGGCCCAGACTGAATTCACCTGAGTGTGTTTTTCCTCTTTTCAGGTTCCTGGGCCCAGTCAGCTCTTACTCAGCCTTCCTCAGTGTCTGGGGCTCTGGGACAGTCAGTCACCATCTCCTGTGCTGGGACCAGCAATGACATTGAGGGTTATAACCATGTGTCCTGGTACCAGCAGCTCCCTGGCAAGACACCCAACGTCCTG